TCTGATTTAATCTGTGAAACAAATTGAGTCATTTCCTCTCTCATTTGAACTACAATCTCTCCCATTATGCCTCTAACCTCTTGTACTGAAAGTCCAGGTAGAGGAGGGGAGGGTGGTGGCTGAGCCGGTGGTGCATGTTTAGATTGTTGTTGTAGCTGTGCAGTGGAAGTTATAGGAGTGTGCCGTTGTATCTTCAAATGGTCACTAAATGAATAATTGTGTGTCAAGGGCTACCTGTAGAAGGACTTGATTAGGTAAAGAATATAATTTTATCCAAGCTTGATTACTTTTCCATTAACTTGATACCAATATGGAAGGTGGTTCCTGTTCCCTTCTTTTGCATTTTTTTTAATATCATGGGCTAGCTAACAGCCTAGCCCTAGGATTTTCCTGGTGGTTTTTCCTTCCAAATATTAATCAGGTCAGACCTCACTTAGCTTCTTCTGGTATATCTCAGTCTTACTGACTGGTGTGTGATTAGATAAAAAGCACAAATGCAGCAGTGGCCTCACATCAGCACTAGGGGTTTGGTAGAGATTTGCCATCACAATGGGTTTTGAAACCTGGGGAAATAATCTCATTTTATTAAAGAGACCTTGGTTTAAATAGAAACCTGAGATTGTGATAGGAATCACTTGGTATTGTACTGGCTGTTAATTCTATGCAAACTCTAGATTAAAAACATAAAAATATGTCCATGCTTTGCTGTCCTGTTATCTAAATAATAATAGTTTCTGATATGTTTTAAATTGGATTAAGATGGATTTGGAGATGGTAATGGTGATCTTAATGGCTCAAATACAATTATTGCTTTGATATTTGCTTTTTATCTAATCACACACCGGTCAGTAAGACTGAGCTATACCAGAAGAAGCTAAGCAGGGTCTGACCTGATTAATATTTGGAAGGAAAAACGACCAGATCTATCAGAAAGGGCATGCTGTGGGTCCTATCTGATAGAATGTTACATTTGGTGAGTCCCAGGAGGCGGGCCTTCTCTTTATAGCACCCACTGTCTGGACCATTTTCTCCCCGCCCACATGTCCCCAAAGTGAGGCAACTCCACTCCTGTTAATGTTCCTGAAGTCTCTCAAGCTCTGAAATGGAGTTTTGCAAAGCTTAGAGTAATACTACTTTATATAACAGTTAGCTGTATAAAATCATTTTATATAAAGCATTCTACTTCTTAGCTGTTTATGCAAAGTTGATAAATTGTCAGTTGAAAAAAATTAGTTCTTTCTAGAAAGTATATCCTCTTGAATAATACATCTTCTCATCAGAGTCAAGGAAGTCAGCAATTGGTACTGTGCTTGCTGTTTTAATGTGGACAATCTGATGGGCAAACCTATCGCCTTCATGATGCATGTTTTTAAAAGTCTTAAGTTATGTACAATCTCCATTTGAAATGATGTGCATTAACACTTTTTTCTTTTAATTAGCTACTTACAGATATAGAAAGATAATAAATATTTGAGTTAAAATACCAATAGAAAAAGAATCACAGTGCTTTACAATATTACCTTACACCCAGGGCTTTTTTTGTCATAGAATGCCCAGAACGGAGTTCCGGCACCTTTTTTGGATGGAACCTTGTAGGGTAGACAAGGCGGATTGTATGACCTGTATGAGTTCCGGCACCTTTTTTTTTTTAAGAAAAAAAGCACTGCTTACACCCATCTACTCAAAAGTAAAGCCTGATGACTTAATGCACCAAAAATGTTTAATAGTGTGAGAAGAAAATCTCTCTGGATAGCTCCACCAGCTGGGAATAAGCCTTCAGCACGGAAGAAAAATAGACACTAAACGAAGCAAGCTGCCAGAAAGTGGATTTTATTAAAGAAGTCAGACAGAAAAGTGACACAGCAATGGGTTCAGGACTAGCTAGTAAAAATCACCTAAATACATGGTACAATTTACACTCTTTCTGTCTATTTTAAGTCTAGATGAGATTTGTAAGAAGTTTGTTCTTCTTAATTTCCTAGCCTGGTTTTTCCTGTCAGGAGGATTGATTAATCCTATCACTCAGGGAAAGAAATAACATGTTGATGAAGTTTTTGTGTGTCTAGGTTAATCTTGTCATAGGTTCTGGTGTGCATCTGGGGTAATCCTGTCAGCTCTTTCTGTTTATTCAAGGCTAGCACTTATTGCTGTTTCTTTTGCTGCTTCCCCGGGGCCATTAACTGAGCTGGGTGGTGGAGGAAGGGAGAAGAGAGAGAGAGAGAGAGAGAGAGAGAGAAACTCTTCTCTGATACTTTTATTTTTTCGGCTTGAAGGGAAATGGATGTTTCTTTTGGAGCAGACTTCCGTATTTGTAATAGTTGGTTTCTGGGGTTAGGCTTTCTGCCTCTTTTCCTATGGTTCCTGCCTGTTTATATTTCTCAAAGATGTTTCCTTTTCAGGGGTAGATAGATGCTGACTTCCAATATGTTCTTGATTGAATCAATCCATCAGTAGTATATGTCCAACCAAGTACATACTGAATTGCGTGTTAAAAGAATACACAAGAGAGCACAAGAAGAGCATGAACATTGCCTAAAGCCTACAAATAAATATAGGAAAAGAGCAAATCACAACCGCGTGTTTTCATATTCATGACTGCTTATTCGTAAGAAAATAAATCATTAACAATCTTCAGGTCAATGTATTTTAAAGTTAAAATTATTTTTTTGAAGGACACAGAATGATTTTTAATTATGATATTTTGTAGTTGTCCAGTGACAACAGTCCAGAAGGATGCACTGTCTGTTTAAATAACTGCCTTATTGTACAATACAATATATTATAAAAATTAAATAATAAGATACTAGACCAGTTGGTGTCTGATTCCTAATACCTCACTCTCTCAGTTTTGCAACATTTTTGGTGTATAAATAGATGGAACTATGTTGCCACCTAGTGATCTGTAGCCCAGATGTAAATACAGAACCAAAAATTTCTCACCAAAAATCTTTAGCATTCACTCTGTTTTTGCTGATAAAAAAATAGAGGCCTACTACGATCTTAAAATGCTAATAACATGTATTGTGCTTATTGATAATGATGACAGTAATGTTGGTTTTGTAAATCACTCATACATTTGAAGTAGTTTTTGCTTTAAATTCTGAAATGACAGATACTGTATTTACTGATCATTGTTACCCAAACATTTCTGTTGATTGTTTTTGTCCAAAGCAATAATGCATATTTATTTATTCATTTTAAAAACAAAAACTGTTACTTTTCTGCTGTAGGGGAAAAAACTTGTATAAACTTGAGTTATTTGCTTACCAAACTACTGTATTTTCCTTGCTTCCTTCTTTATATTGTTTTATTGTAAAACATAAATAGTACATTATACTATTGGAAAGAGTGATATTTATGGAGGCTGCCTACAGATTATTAACCCTGATGATTTAGATAGCTTACCCCTTTAAAGATAAAGAAAAAAAGAAAGTTTAGAAATAATTATGATTTCTAAAATGTTAATGTTCAGTATAAAGTTGCTTAAATTTTACATCTAAAGCTGAGTGTGACATTAATAAACTGCAAAATACATTAAATTGTTCATATCATAGGCTTCTTAACACTAAGATTTCCACTATACTGTTTTTTATGGTTTATGCATGTTAGAAAAAAGACAATAAAAACAAATATGTTTCTAACTTTGCCTGTCTTGCGCTTCTACCAGTTTGTGGTGTTTACAAACATTAGTTTATTGTTAAGGTATATGCAGTACTGATTATTTTAGTACAATTAAATTGTAATGCAAGCATTTTAGAGGATGAATAGGAAATTTTATGAAGGCAGCAGAATGGGCAAAAGTGAAGTCATAACATTCCCAACAAAGGAACAGTATGAAGAAATAAGATCACTCTGAAGGCAGGACAAGAAGCAATGGATGGAAACTAATCAAGGAGAGAAGCAACCTAGAACTAAGGAGAAACTTCCTGACAGAACAACTAATTAGTGGAACAACCTGCCTCCAGAAGTTGTGAATGCTCCAACACTGGAAGTTTTAAAGAAGAGATTTGACTGAAATGGTATAAGCCTGAGCCAGGGGGTTGGACTAGAGGACCTCCAAGGTCCCTTCCAACTCTGTTCTTCTGTTATTCAGTGGGAAAACTGGAAGACAGAATGGACAGAACAGCTGTGGGCTGCCAAGAAAGAGGTGAAATAAACAGAACAGCTTTGCTGTGTGGATAGAAACAACAGCTGTATGAGATTGAGAGAGAGTTAAGCTGATTATCCTCCATGCCAGCAGGGCCATCAAAGCTCTGATCTGTCAGCTGCCTGAGGAATGACATTTGAGTTGGGCTTCTGTAACTGGCTGTAAAAGCCTCCATGTCGACAAAATTTTAAGTTTTTGTGTCTCTTCCTGCCATCTTTGCTGCTCAGATACGGTGTGGACATTATGAACAATGTCCACGTTAATAAAATTGAGTTGTACTAAGCTGGTCTGAGCTTTCATAATTGATTTTTTTTTTTAGAATGAAATACTTGTAACACACTGACTTCAGAGTAAGTGTGATCATCATAAAAGAACTGATTTTAAATATATAGTCATTTTCATCTCCTTTCTCAATCACCTGCCCTGCCGAAGCTTCATTAACGTGGCTTTATTCCAGTGTGGAAGTTACGATGGGAATTTAGGAGGCCAGGCGTCACGATTTGTTTTTGCGGTTTTTACAGGATTATTAACAACAATTTAAAATTTATATTCGTACACCCGCCCAGAATCGCTCTGTAAGGAAGATAGGCGGTCTCTAAATACGATAGATAAATAAAATTAAAATAAGAAAAAAAATATGAATGCAGATTCCTGCGCAGCACTGTTTTACAGTGTGTGATTGGAAATTCATAAACCAAGCCTGAAATGAAAACGCATCTACTACTCTTCTTCTTTCTATCTCTATAAGGAAAAAAAAAAAAGACCTTTTCCTATAGAGAGGCACGCTACCATAGAGACTCACCGCCCCACCCTTCTTGAATTGGCAGAACGGCAGTGGCATAAAAGATCCCGGAACCGGTTACAATAGGCCGCGGGGCATTGTGGGTTGTCGGCGTTACTTGCGGGCGACGAAGTGGGGCGAAGAAGCGACTGTTGTCGGGGTCCCCCGAGTGCCGTCCCCGTCCGACGGCGAGCGCTTCCGATAGCGGCGGCTGCGGCTGTTGCATTCGGCCCTGCTATGTCCTTCAACAAAATCCCACCGCGGTGGCTGAACTGCCCGAGGCGCGGACAGCCCGTGGCAGGTAAGCTGTGGCGGGACGGAGGACCGGGTGCCGGGCTTTGATAAGACAGCCTCCCGCCCTGTGGCGCTTGAGCCTCTCCTGCGCACGTGGAGGCCGAACAGCTGGCCCAGGTTGTATTGTGGGGGGCGGTCTTCGCTCTGTTGGACCAACAGGCTTATTTGTATAGGGCAGGGATAGGCAACCTTGGCTCGTGGACTTCAGTTCCCAGAATTCCTGAGCCATCAGGGATAGGCAACCTTGGCTCTTTTATGACTCGTGGACTTCAACTCCCAGAATTCCTGAGCCAGCAGGGGTAGGCAACCTTGGGTCTTTTATGACTCGTGGACTTCAACTCCCAGAATTCCTGAGCCAGCAGGGATAGGCAACCTTGGGTCTTTTATGACTCATGGACTTCAACTCCCAGAATTCCTGAGCCAGCAGGGATAGGCAACCTTGGCTCTTTTATGACTCGTGGACTTCAACTCCCAGAATTCCTGAGCCAGCAGGGGTAGGCAACCTTGGCTCTTTTATGACTTGTGGACTTCAACTCCAGAATTCCTGAGCCAGCAGGGGTAGGCAACCTTGGCTCTTTTATGACTCGTGGATTTCAACCCCCAGAATTCCTGAGCCAGCAGGGATAGGCAACCTTGGCTCTTTTATGACTTGTGGACTTCAACTCCAGAATTTCTGAGCCAGCAGGGGTAGGCAACCTTGGCTCTTTTATGACTCGTGGACTTCAACTCCCAGACTTCCTCAGACAACGTGCCACGCTGGCTGAGGAATTCTGGGAGTTGAAGTCCACGAGTCTTAAAAAAGAGCCAAGGTTGCCTACCCCTATAGGGAAATCATTGATTAGGTGCTGAGACTGATTTTAGAATTTGGGGGCGGAGAGAAAGTTTCCTCTTCAGCCGCTTGGATAGTGTTTCTACGAAAAGATGCAGAGCTTTCTCTCAACGTTCCCACTCCGAAAGAGAGAAAAGAACCCTTTTGTAATGGATGAATACACTTAAGTACCAATTCACTGAACCATTACAAGTAACAGAAACATAAATGATCTCCAAGCAGCCTGATAGGAGCAAACCAGTGGATTCCCAGTTTTGGATTTAGGTATACCTTCCCAATTAAAGGCCTAGTTTAATTATGCTCCCAAATAAATAAAAAACGTAAGCCATGCTGCATGTTATATGCTCCTGGCCACTTTCCTTTGTGACCAGAGGCAAGCTCGCCTGACCAATAGCCAGCCAAGATACAGGGAAGGCCTTTTGTTTTGTTTATTGCAATAAGCGGGGAGAGAAGCTATCAAAACTTGGTTCTCTCCAAAGTTTCAACCCAAAATATTCCCTTCTTTTATACAGCCCTGTCCCTGCTGCCACATCCCTCCTCTTTCCCCATTGGCTGAGATACTATGAGGTTACACTCTTTCTGACCGCCTCCTACCTATTTCCTGCTACATATTAAATCATACATCACATGTACTTTAATAATATAAAATATTAGACATATTCAATTATTGGTTTTGAGTTCTGGGCCCCTTAGAACGATAGGTTCTTTCCTGCTTTTCAGTTTAGTTAAGTTTTCCTGGCTAGCCATTTCCTTTTACAGATGTTTTTATAGCTTGTCTTCTTCCTTTCCCACTCTAAGACCCAGTTAATTTTTGCCTACGTATTTATCTTACATCCTGCCTTTATGCTATCCTTTCCTGTTTCCCAGCCATTATAGTTTTTGATAAGCTTGTTTGTCCAGGCAATAAGTTTCCACTGCGGCAAATTCAATTTTAAATTTCTCTTTCAGTATTAAATTTTGAAGACCTTTCCTTTACTTCTATCACTGCAGAAATAGCAGGGACAGCTTCTTGCCTGTCTTAGGAAAAGGGGAAAGGGGGGAGAGGGTTGGAGAAATTATTTGCAACACTTAATTGTGCTTGTTAATTTAATCCTTTAAAGTAAAACCTGACCATTAAATAGCCTAATAGAGCTTCAGTTAAGGAAGGAAAACTAATGCTGGGCCAGTTCCTTGGCAATTGAAAAGCAAATATTCGCAACCATGGTTTGTCTAAAATAAATTTGGGAGAAATTGTTTCAGTCTAAGTACCTCTTGTTTTCTAAATTTATCACAAAATTCAGTTAATTGATTGTTGTTATTATATCTGAGGGTTGCTGACCAGAGGTTATTTTTAGAATGAGTCAGATATGCCTAGGGAGAGATCAGAAGAATTTAAGTGTTGCAGTGAGGACATATTCTAGATTTGTCCCAAGTTGGAATCTGGCTGAGGCAGGATTTTTGTTATCTGAAAAAGTTTTGAGTCTGTGAATCTCAAGGAAGTGGACAGGCTTCTAACCGTTGTCAGTGCAGTGATCAGTGGAACAGATCCCTGTCTTGACTGATTAAGGTAATGGTTCAGCCGAGTGCATTCTTGATTGAGGGGATAATACCTCCTGCCTTGAAGAAGGCAATGGTGCATCCCTTCCCTCAAGAAAGACTAGACGTCTTTCCGGCAAGGTTTAGACATGGTTATAGCACTGGAACAACATTGATAGAGTATACTCTGGTGGAACTGGGGTAGTAACAATAGTGTAATTCTCCTGGATTATTCTTGATATTTCAGTGGGTTTCAATACCATTATTTATGGTATTTAAAGAATATCATATTAGATATCAGAGGATAGGGAATGGAGACATTACATTACAATGGTTTTCTTCCTTTCTCAATCTAGAATCAATTCCAGTAGAGCAGTGGTTCTCAACCTTTTTAATGCCGCGACCCCCAACTGGTCCTAAGTCGAGGACTACTCAACCGGTCGTAAGTCGAGGACTACTCAACTGATGCAGCACCGTTTGCAGAATGGGACTTTTGGCGGGCTCAGCAGGGCAGAGACAGCCTGGACAATTCCTATTGGCTTTTGAATGCCAATAGAATTAGACTCTATTCAAGAGAGTCTATTCTATTGGCTTTCAAAAGCCAATAGAATAAAAGGGAGTAGCACAGCTAAGGAAAAGGGGAAAAAATGGCGGACTGCGTTGTTTGGCGACCCCCGTGAAATGGTCGTTCGACCCCAAATGGGGTCGCGACCCACAGGTTGAGAACCACTGCAGTAGAGGTTGGTGGAGAGAGATTGAACGTAAGGTCCTTGCTTTGTGTGGTTCTTTGGGTCTCAGCTTTCTTCTCGTATTTAACATCTATGTGAGGCTGGTGGGTGAAGTTATTCAATGACATGGGATCAGGTGTCAATATTGCATGTATGATACTCAGTTCTGTATCTCAATTCCAGAGTGGCCAAGTGATGCTGTTGAGGTTCTTTCTTACTGCCTGTAAGCTGTTAGTCTAGTTAGGGAGAAACAAGCTTAAACTGAATAGTAGCAAGACCAAGTATCTCTGAATTCAAGAATGCTTTATTTCTGGTGGCTTTCTAGCTCTACATAGGGCATTTCCCTAGACAGAATCAATACAGAATTTGAAGTCCTTGTCAATTCTCAGTTGATCAAAGAATAAATGGTAGCCATAGCTGAGAGAGTCCTTGCACAGATCTGCCATTCTTCCTTGCAAATCCTCTCAAGCTCAGTCAGGTTGGATGGCGACTGTTGGTGGACAGCCATTTTTAGGTCCCTCCAGAGATGTTCAATAGGGTTCAAGTCAGGACTCTGCCTGGGCTGCACTAGGACATTCACAGAGTTGTCCCTAAGCCACTCCAGTGTTATCTCGGCTGTGCGCTTAAGATCATTGTCATGTTGGAAAGTGACCCTTTGGCCCAGTCTGAGGTCCTGAGCGCTATAGAACAGGTTTTCATTGAGGATATTCCTGTACTTTGCTTCATTCAGCTTTCTCTAACTCTGACCAGTCTCCCAGTCCCTGCTGCTGAAAAATACCCCCACAGCATGATATTGCCACCGGCGCCATGATTCACTGTTGGGATGATATTGGGCAGGTGATGAGTGGTGCCTGGTTTCCTCCAGACATGTTTAGAATTGAGGCCAAAAAGTTCAATCTTGGTTTCATCAGATCAGGGAATCTTGTTCCTCACAGTCTGAGAGTCCTTCAGGTGAGTTTTTTTTTGCAAACTCCAAGCGGGCTTTCATATGTTTTGCACCAAGGAGAGTCTTCCATCTAGCCTCTCTGTCATAAAGCCCAAATGGATGGAAGGTTGCAGTGATGGTTGTTCTTCTGGAACTCTATCCCAGATCCACACAGGATCTCTGGAGCTCAGTCAGAGTGATCATCAGGTTCTTGGTCACCTCTCTTACTAAGGCTCTTCTCTCCTGATTGCTAAGGTTGACCAGGTGACCAGCTCTTGGAAGAGTCCTGGTTGTGCCACACTTCTTCCATTTGAGGATTATGGAGGCCACTGTGCTCTTAGGAACTTTCAGTGCAGCAGAAATGTTATTGTAGCCTTCCCCAGATCTCTTTCTGAGCTTTGCAGGCAGCTCCTTTGATCTCATGGCTTTTGCTCTACTACAGCAGACATGTCAAACTCGTGATGTCACGTGACGTTGTGCAACGTATCGGAGCTTTTTTGCCATTGCCGGCAATGGGGTGGGCGTGGCTCCGGTATGATGAAACCAGCCCGCGGGCCGGCAGTTTGACACCCCTGTGCTACAGTATGCATCGTCAGCTGTGAGGCCTTCTATAGAGAGGTGTGTGCCTTTCCAAATCAGGTCCAATCAATTTAATTTACTACAGGTGGCAGCAATGATCAAGAGAAATGGGAGGCACCTGAGCTAAATTTCAAGCGTTATTGCAAAGGGTCTGAATACTTACACCAATGTGATATTTCAGGTTTTATTAAAAAAAATTACAGACATTTCTAAAATTCTGGTTCACTTTGTGGGGTACTGAGTGTAAATTAATGAGAAAAAAAATGAATTTTAACAACTGTAGAATCAGCCTGCAGCATAACAAAGTTGACAGCAGTAAAGGGGGTCTGAATATTTTCTGAATGCACTGTATATTGAATACTGGAATAACTTTGATTATAATGAAGTAACACATAAAACCCCCAAAGCTATTGGTTAAAAACTGTTATTTAAGATGTATGCAGTTGGAGTAAACTGCAGCAGTAGAATGCTTGCAAAGTTATTGTAGTGATGTGGCTTGAGTATGGACAATCGTATTTTGGACTAACTAAAACTAAATTTCTTTTCAGAGACAGTTACATGTTGAATGCTGTATTGTAATCAAGTGGAGATGTTATGCTACCTTGTTGACAACTAGGCTATTAATTAAATCTAATGAAGCACTTTGTTTTTCATGCCTATCCTCTGATAATTCAGTAGCTAGGCCAGATCCAAGAGTTTTCTTGTACTCTTTTATCTCAGAAGAAATGGTTAATATTCCTTCCATATTTTTTGTCCCTAAACAACTCCATGTCACAGCATCTGGATTGAATGTTGATTTATTCTTCCTCATATAATTTATTTTAAATATACATGGGTTTAGGTATTAATTGGATATAGCTAATAAGGGGATTAGTTAAATAACACAGTTTCTCTAGTTGTATAAGGAGCATTCACAATAAATGGGAAATTATTTAATAAAGCCCTTCAGTTTTTTTTTACAGTCCAGTACTTTATTTCGTTATAGATGATATTGAGTTCTGTGTTGTAGTTCTTTGTCCTAGTGAAGAATGTTAAACATGATTCAAACAAACAGACATTTTTTATGAAGTTTCATGTTCATTATGTGCATTTTTTAAAAATTACTCCCAAACAGGAATATTTTTACCTCTGAAGACAATGCTAGGACCAAAATATGATGATAAAGTTGCTGAAGAGTATCGTTTCCATCCCTTTATGTTATCCAACTATTTAAAGAGTCTCAAGGTAAAGAATATAATTTAATTTTTCTTTACTATCTAAATAATAAAGGTGTTTTTTTTTTACTATTTTACTGATACATTTTTTTCTCTGAGCATGCTAACTTTAGAAATATCTTCCCAATATATTATGGGTGGAATACATGTCTGTCTGTCTATCTGCCTGCCCCCCCTATCTATCTCTCTATCTAATTTATATACTGCCCATCTCACTATCAAGTGATTCTGAGTGGCTCACAGTGTTATAAATAATAAAAGGAAACAACTAACACATCAAAAGATTAAAACATTGGAGAGCAAAGTTAAAACATTTAAGTTAACAACAAAGCGCATAAATACAATGCTTATTTTCCTTAGACAGAGCTGTATCTAGGAGAATTAAGAGAATGTATTTTTTTCCCTCCTATTACTTTTTTCTATATACCTCTCCCCAAATTGGTTTCAGAGGATTCTCCTAACTCTAAAGCAGGAGGGGAGTGTATGGGCAGCAGGAGGAGAAACCACACTTTCTCCTGACAAGGGCAGTTTTGGCAATGGGAGAGAAGCATTGGACTCCATCTTTTCTCTTATAAATTCTGTATGTGAGGCTTCCAATGAGACAACTTGGGATATACACAGCCATGTTATTTCTGTGGTGTATGTATAACATCAAAAAAGCTACTTCTGAATATTAACCATTAGAGTTGCGCATGTTTATCATAAACTGATTATCACAGTGAAAGCCTTTTATGGCATGGGGCCAGGTTATCTGCAGGACTGCCTTTCCCTAAGCATATCTAATGAGAGCTAGAAAGTATGTCTTTTCTGTGGTAGCCTCTGCCCTATGGAACACTTTTCCCCCTGAGGTTTGGGCAGGCCTCTACCCTCCCAAAGACCTGGCTTTTCTCCCAGGTGCTGGGATAAGATTGGATAATTGCCCATTAGGAGTTGACTTGGCACCAGATCTTGCTTGTTTTTAATGTTTTGATCTGTTTAGTTTATAGTTTTAACATGATTTGATATGTTGTTTTTACTTTTAATTGAGAGCGGCTGAAAGTTGGTTAGATGATGGGCAGCTAGACACATGTTTTAAATAAATAAACTACATAAAGTTATATTTACCATATGTGTAATTCCACAGATCTGTATTAAACTCTAATTTTATTACTTTCAGGTTAAAATGGGCCTGTTAATAGACTTGACAAACACCAGTAGGTTCTATGACCGAAGTGATGTAGAAAAAGATGGCATCGTATATGTAAAGCTTCAGTGTAAAGGGTAAGCTAATGGGACTCCTGAATATTGTTTTATGGAGGAAAATCCTTGGCTTTACTTGACTCTTCTCTTCTTGATAGGCACGGAGAGTGTCCCACGCCTGAAAACACAGAAACATTCATCCGTATATGTGAACAGTTCCGTAATAAGAACCCAACAGAACTTATAGGTATGTATATTAACCTACTATGTGACTGTTTTCCATCTGTCTTGGTTGCTTTTCCATGTAATATACTTAATGCTCCATTTGCCAGTCTCCATTGTAGTTGTGCATAAATATTTCACAACTTAATCATCCAGCCAGCATCAAATCATGACAGCGAGCAATAGAACCAAAAAACCCAAAGTAGGATGTAATACCAGGATGTTGGAAAGAAACATTCTTGAATGATGTTTGTAAAAAGGGCCAAGCCTGAATGACTGTCATGAACTGTATTTAGTTTTCCATTCATCTAGATCAGGGGTAAGCAACCTCGGCTCTTTTATGACTCATGGACTTCAACTCCCAGAATGAAGTCCATGAGTCATAAAAGAGCCGAGGTTGCCTACCCCTGATCTAGATAAATTACACAGCATATTGCTATCACCAATGTCTTGCTGAACAGGGAAGTATCAAGATGAAATCAAAGCTGAAATCCAAATAATTTAATCGGAGAGTTAAGTCTTGACCTATTGTTGGGGGTCATAGAGATGATCATGAAAAAGATATCCAGAAGTGATTAGGACAAGAGGTGTAGAAGAAGCATGCATGCAAGCTGAATAGACGGGTGGAGGTGGGGGAAGTATTAGAAAGAGGCACAGACTGGCCCCACCCTAACCCTTTGAAGGAGAAGAGGGAGGGAAGGGGAGAACTCAAGTAAACTTGCTAGATTCTATTACTGTGACCTTAATAAAGTATAAAGTGACCTTAATAAAGTATAGTTTTAGTGGTCTTGTAAAATCAGCTTCTTCATCTGTCTGTCTCATAGGGCTGACACACACATCAACTTTGAAATTTATTGCAGGTTTTTTTTCATCACTTGATTATGCTGGACTTGTACAAGAACTAAAGTTAACAGAGAAGTGTAATGATCTGGAATAAATATTATTATGGAAATGCCTCATTGAATTGTATACTCCTTTTTAATATTAATTACCTTCTTTACCGTACAGCATTTATTGCAGTGCAATGCTGAATTCTGATTGACATTGCTAAACAATGCGGTCACTTGGTTTTTCCCACTTAACAACCACATTGCTTAACAGAGTTTCCGGTCCCAATTAGCATTCTTAAACAAGAGCTATTTTACTTATATACCACATAATTTGTTTATGTGGTTATGTACAAGTGTCTAGCTTTCTTGAAGAGAGGCCAAAATGATTGTATCAGCAGCCTATTAACTTCTTCATTTAATTACCAAAAGAAAATTTAGTCTTAATGTTTGAACCTGTTGTTTAGCGCATTATAACCTGCATTCCAATTTTGATTATGAAGTCTTGAACAGATGTTAACTATTTTAGGAAACTGTTTTTCAGGTATGTCAACAATCTGTCTGCTTGTCTGTATGTATATCTCACCTTAATTTTTTTATAAGTAATTCAAGGCAGTGAACATGCCGAGTATTGCTTCCTGTTCCTATTCTCTCCGCAACAACCACTCTGTGAGGTGGAGCTGAGAAAGCAAGACTGGTTCAAAGCCATCCAGTTGGCTTTTATGCCTAAGGCGGGATTATGTCTCACTGTCTCCCAATTTTTAGTTTGGTACCTTAACGAGTAGACCCAACTGGCTCTCTACAAATATATAGTATATTTGCTTGTGTATAAATAAATAAGATTCAAAATAAAGATATATGAGTACAAGATCATTCGTTTTTACTTTCATTATATAGCTTGATAGCTGAAACACAAGCAGCAGAAATAAAGGTTTTTTTTAAAAAAAATCTGTTGAAGCAGCAAGATTAAGGGAGCTTCCATTTCAATTGTCTTCATTTGGATCGTTAAATATATTGGTCAAATTCTAAATGATGCCTACATTTAAATATTTTATTTCGAGTGAAAAGAAAATGGACTCTCTCTGTTTTATTGTGGAAAACCTGGGTTAAACTTTATGCAGCTAATCCTCAAATTATGATCACAACTGAGCCCAAAATTTCTATGGCTACCATAGGTGGGGCATTTGTTAAGTGAGTTTTTGCCCTATTTTATGACTTTTCTTGCCATAGTTGTTGAACAAATCACTGTAATAAGTAAGTTAGTAACACAGTTGTTAAGTGAATCTGGTTTCCCCATTGACTTTGAGGTCGCAAAAGGGGATCACATGGCCTCTGGACACTGCAACCATCATAAGTACATGCCAGTTGCCAAGTATCTGAATTCTGATTATGTGATCATGGGGACACTGCAGTAGTCGTAAATGTGAAAAATGGACATAAGTCACTTTTTTCAGTCACGTAACTTTGAATGGTCACCAAATGAACCGTTGTAAGTCAAGGACTACCTGTATTGATTTTTTTATTTAGTCTTCTGTGTATATTGCTTTATCGAAAGCATATGCATTGTATTAAAATAACTAATGAACACCCATAAAATTTGACAAAGAAGCATCGATAAACCGTGAATGATTCAAGCTCTAGCAATGGAAGTCAAGGGACACAGAGGGAAAATAGTACTATAATGAAATATGAAGAAGACCAAACTAATGACAAGTCTAGCAAACCAGTGTTAGAATAGAAGAAGTTGAAGAGATGGATAGTTTCTGTCTTTTAGGATTGGCTAGCAGTGTAAAGGAACAAGAAATCAACAAATCTGCTGTTGACCAGCATGTGGTGTGGGGTAGCACTAAAAGCCTTGGAAAATGTACATGGATACCATCTGTGCTAACAAAGATTGTTATCAGGCAGACAACGAAGTAAAAGATGAAGAGACCAGATAACCACCATGAGATCCTTTTCAACTTGGTTGTTAGGGAAGACTCTTGAAAATAGCATTCATAGTTCAGAAAACAAATGGGACGCATCATAGGACAGTCCAGAGGTCTCGTTTGAAACACAAATGAGGGTTCAAATCCCCCCAAATTTGGACCTAGTATGTGAAGGCCTAGCTCTCTTGAGAAGTCTGTAATGCTGGGAAAGGTAGAGTGAAAGAAGATGACCGACAGCAAGATGGAGGGTTTCAATCACTGGGTGCACATTTAAAGACTTGGAGGGCAGGTGGGGAACAGGTAATCTTGAAGCAGATCTATTTAGTTCAGGGATCTTCAAACTTGGCCCTTTTATGACTTGTGGACTTCAACTCCCAGAATTCCTCAGCCAGCAACGCTGGCTGAGGAATTCTGGGAGTTGAAGTCCACAAGTCATAAAAGGGCCAGGTTTGAAGACCCCTGAGCTAGTTACTAAAACTCAACACCAGCTTCATGGCACATAATCGAATTGAGCTAATTTAGACAGATTTGGGGGTTTCAAAACTAATGCAGAGTCTTAGTCCAGTATTGAAACATTATGAAAACCATGGAAGACAGTGCTCCTGAGCAAACTTATTTGCTCTCATAAGTTGCTGTCCAGAATAATTGTAACCGTTATTATGGAATATTCCACTGTTTGACAGCCTCATTTGAATTTTAAAACTGTGAACTGGATACTTTGATATCATTTTTAAGAATTGCTTTTTTTCTTGGCCACTAGATGGAGACATTACCACAGAAATAAGGCAGAAGTGTTTTTGGATTTTTTTTTTTAAGTGCTACTGGTTCATTGTTTTAATTCAGGGGTCTTCAAACTTGGCCCTTTTATGACTTGTGGACCTCAAAGCTGGCTGAGGAATTCTGAGAATTGAAGTCCACAAGTCATAAAAGGGCCAAGTTTGAAGACCCCTGTTTTAATTGAATGCTGTCTTTAGAATGTTCTTGTAACAGTTGCTGATTGCTGATGCACAATCAGTTTTAAACTGTATTAAAATAGAAGCTAGTGAGAGAAAAATCCTATGAGAATAGGAGAGTCCTGAGGCCCATCTATTCCAGAAATATGGCCCTTAATAGTAACTGGTTTCTGGCAATCCTGTAAGACTTAGATGGAGCAGTAGCCCTCATTTCAGCAATTAATATCAAGATGAAAGCTATTCTGAATCCAGAATAGCTGCTGAATATACTTTCTTCCCGTAAACTGCCTGATGCTCTTTTTTGTGCTATGTAGGCAACATATTTCACCAATTGTGAGTGTTGTTAACTAAGTGTCCTACGAAGAATTCCCCCCCTTATGTTGCAACAGTAGCATTTTGTCCCTGTGTAAGTTGGACTAAGCAGCGTGTTAATGGCTAGCCTCTTAAGTGCCAGTAATCAGGATGGATCATAAAAAAAAAATCTGACTGTAAGTGATAACAGATAGAGGCAAGAAGAAGCTACTGTGCCAGGAAAGAATTTTCTTCTCCAGATCCTCATGAGAAAGAAGATGGTGGTGGTGGTGGTGGATGAGAACCAGAAAGTACAGGATATCTGTTGCCTCAGTTTAACAGGGTGTGGAAAGGTGGTGGACTCAAGCTCTGATGATGTTAAAAGAAATACCTTTATATTTGGGTATGTCAAGTTTAATGAAGAGAAGGATGAGGGGGGACATGATAGCAGTGTTCCAATATCTCAGGGGCTTCCCCAAAGAAGAGGGAGTCAAGCTATTCTCCAAAGCGCCTGAAGGCAGGACAAGAAGCAATGGAGGGAAACTAACCAAAGAGAAAAGCAACCTAGAACTAAGGAGAAATTTCCTGACAGTTAGAACAATTAATCAGTGGAACAACCTGCCTCCAGAAGCTGTGAATGCTCCAACACTGGAAGTTTTTAAGAAGAGACTGGACAGTCACTTGTCTAAAATGGTATAGGTTTTCCTGCTTGAGCAGGGGCTGGACTAGAAGACCACCAAGGTCCCTTCCAGCTTCTATTCTATTCTATTCTATTCTATTCTATTCTATTCTATTCTATTCTATTCTATTCTATTCTATTCTATTCTATTCTATTCTATTCTATTCTATTCTATTCTATTCCATTCCATTCCATTCCATTCCATTCCATTCCATTCCATTCCACCCTACCCTACCCTACCCTACCCTACCCTACCTTACCCCACCCCACTCTACCCTACCCTACCCTACCCTACCCTACCCTACCCTACATATTTAATTTCATATAAATAAGTGCATTTTTCCCTTTCCTGGTTTCAGTTGCTAAATTTGTTCAGTGTGTCTATGGTTCAGTCAGATATTTAAAGCCATTGATATAGTTATTTATATGCAGAGTTTTGGTATGAATGGAATATAATGTGACTTTGTCAGAAGTTTGTTGAGAGAAGTATACATTCATTCAAAAGAATATGACAACTCAGCGAGTATACTATATTGTATTGAAAAAACAGACTATTGTCCTGGCTTTCCCTGCTAAATGTGTATATGCAAAATATAATGAATGCCTTTTCCCCCCAATTCTGATAGAAATATTCTTAAAATGTATCCAGAAACTTACAGTATATATTTTTTTCATCATGCGTCAGTAGCTAGTGATATTTGCTGTCACTTTAGAGCTAGAGAACGATGATTGAAAAGTGGTTGGAAAAATGCCTTCCATATTCATAGATTGCCCTCAATCCCTAGTTTTGTTTTGAATGTGCAAAGCAAAGAACTGAGATGTTTGTTTATTTGAGGAAGTGTTTATATGATCGGCCCTGTTCATGCTCTAATTTCCTCTTGGAGAGAAGGAAGAAGTAGTTGGTATGAGAAGAGATGAATTATCACCTAATTCTACTACCTGAGAACTAATTCCCTTGTAAGGGGAGTGATTATGACAAGCAAATGTTCCTGATGCTTTTAAGTGAGCTTGGTAATTGCAATTATATTTTTTTCTTCAATTTTTGTCTTCTAGGTGTTCACTGTACACATGGTTTCAATCGTACTGGATTCCTTATCTGTGCCTTTCTGGTTGAAAAGTTGGATTGGAGGTAATTATTTTTTAAAAAAAGACGACACTTTTTGGCAATACTATAGCAATAATAGCATAATGACTTTATTTTACATAGGTCATCGATGTCATTAATTATGGATTTTTTTACTATGTCTTGCTAGTGGGGTATACAAATTAAAGTGGCTATAAAACCTAATAAAAGTAAGGAATCCCTGTGGATTTTACTCTGTTAGTCATTGCTGACTACAGGTGGCAGTGCTCATCTCTGTTTCAAAGGCATTGAGCCAGTCCTGTCTGAAGACATTTCCATGGTCACGTGGCCAACATGATGTCACGGAGCACTGTTACTTTCCGATGGAAGGGATACCTATTTATTTACTCAAATTTGCATGCTTTTGAACTGCTAAGTTGGCAGGAGCTGAGGAAAGTAACAGGAGCTCAACCCGTCCTGTGGTACTTGGGTCTGGAACTTGGGCTGCCAGCTTTCCTGCCAACAAGACCAGCGTCTTAATCACTAAGCCACTGCACCGCCCCATAAAAACATAATATTTTGTGTTATATATTATCTGCCAACTTTCCAGGAGGCAAAATAATATTTCTAAATATTCTTTGGTGGATTTTTTATTATTGTTAGATAGAAATATTTCGATTAATTTATTTCAAGACTGATCTGGACTTTTAGAAAAAAGTTTGAGCTGTTTCAGATGTTCTGAAGGTAATTCATTTTGACTTGATGTCTGTTTTTGGCTTGAAATTTGGAAAAAAAAACCCTTTCTCCTTAGTTTACCTTTATTATTGCTGTTGCTATTAACTTTGTGTGCTACGAAACTTGATCAGACTCATGGTGGCTTACATTATTTTTTTTCCCCCAACACCTTTTTGAATTTCATGAACTATTCATAAACTTTTGTCATGTTCCGGTGGTTAAGGCGGTGGAGATGGCGGCTACTTTGTAGCCGTCCTCCTGAGATGGTGTTAGATCCGCGGAGCACAGCGTTCATCAGCTGGCCCGCGGCTCGCAATCCTCTTCCCGGGCGAAGGGAAGGGGTAGAGATCGCATGAATAGAGGTAGAACCTCTTAACCTTCCCTGGATTTTTATTTTAGGGGGGTAGAAAGAGTGCTCCCTCGGAGTTCATTGCCTTCTCCGCCTCTCAGCTGTCTTTGTTTCTTCGGAAACAAAGCGAAACGCCGCTACCATCTCCGTATTTAAAGTAACCGTGAGTAATTTTAAACCGGACAGAACTGTTTAAAGGACTTTATTTATAGTTTAGCTTTATTTTATTTTTTTTTAGTTTATTTAGTTTATTTAGTTTATTTAGTATGTGCTGATTTTTTTTTATTTTTATTTTTTGAGCTTCTTTTTTTTTTCTCGCGGGCGGAAAAGTGAGAGTGAAAGTAAAATGGCGTTTTGAAAGTTTTTCTTTTGAAAGACGGACTGGCTGAATTATTGCTTAATACTGTTTTCTTTTTTAAGTTTTTTTTTATCTTCTGGGAGTTTTCTAAATTGATTCTATTTTATTCTATTTTATTTTATTTTTAATCTTTTGGATTTTTTATTTTTTACTGGTATTTTTATGAAGAAAGGAAGATAAATTAAAATGGCTTCAAAACGACAACCAGCCACTACAGTTCCTAAGGTAATCTCTTCTCCTGTTACTTCTACTGGGCAACAACAACTTAAAATAATACCCTCAGTGCAGCAACCTAAAACTACTCCACCTTCACCTCCCCCATCTGGTACATCAGCACAAGACATTAAAGAAATAATGGTAAATGCTGTGTCACAGTTTAGGGAGGAAATGAAGCAATTGTTGGAACAGAATAAATCTGAAAGTAAGGAAGAAATGAAGCAAGAGATGAAGGAACTTTTAGAACAGAATAATACTATTTTGAGGGATGATATACTTTTAGCTTTATCTGGAGTGGCCTCAGTGGTCGTGAAGCTGGACTCTAGAGTGGAGGAAATTGAAGAAACAGTAGAACTTTTGGATTATAAATTCCAAGATATGGAGAAAAAAGTGGAAGCTTCACAAGATGATATTCTTATGTTCCAGTATAGACAGATGGAATATGCTTTGAGAATAAGAGGCCTGAAAGAAGATAAAACCCAAGACTTGATGGAAATGGTGATTAATGACTTGGCTGTTATTTTGAACATAGATAAAGATGAGTTACGTGGGGAAGTGGAAAGAATTTATAGAGTTAATTCTTGGGTTGCAAAACAGAAGAATCTGCCTAGAGATGTGGTGATATATTTTGCTAAGAAGTCTTTGCGAAACCAGATTTTGCAAATTTTCTACAACAAAAGATTCCAGATTGCTGCCCAAGATATTATTATATTAAAGGAAATTCCACCTAAAATTTTAAGAAGCAGAAAAGATTTTGCTTTTTTAGCAAATGAACTTAAAGCAAGACTGATGCCATTTAGATGGGAGATTCCGATGGGTATTGTCCTGAGCCATGCGGGGACACGTTACAGACTTAATACAGTTGCTAAAGCTAAGGATTTTTACAAAACGGTCCTGGGTGCAGGCTCACCTCTGCCCATGATGCACAAAGTCTTGAGTGATAAAGAGATGGAACAGAAACCTGAAGGTACAGGTGTGATGACTGCTGGACAGGTGGTATGGATGTCCCAAGCAGAGGTTAAAGAACAGAGAATGACCCGTGCAGCACATAAACGCAAAGAAAAAGAACAACAGAAAAAAGAAAAAGAAATTAAAGAATCTACTCAGCAAATTGTCTCAATGCCGGTGGGAGGAGCAAGACCCAAAAGCTCTGCAACATACTCTTCAGTAGCAGAATTTGAGGGGATCTTCTCCAGGCTCAAGGCCAAGGGAGATGGCAAAGCTCCTGACCTGGAATGTTAATGGATTAAATATTCCTCAAAAGAGAAAAAAAATCTACCATTATTTAAAGCAACACAACAATGATATTATCTGTTTGCAAGAAACTCATATTACATCTAAAGACCAAAAATACTTAAACAATCCTCGTTTGGGATCTCATTTTGTATCTCCCGCCCCTGGGAAAAAAGGGGGTGTGGTAATCTATGTTAAGAAGAATTTATCTGCTATCCTGTTAGAATCAGATCCTCATGGAAGATATGTTATGCTTGAACTTGGTTTATATGGCAAGAAAATTCTTATCGTGGGGCTGTATGCACCAAACCAGCAACAGGAGCAATTCTACAGGTTGCTACATCAGAAAATAACCTTGTTGGACTATAGATCTGTGATTTTAATGGGAGACTGGAATGGTGTCTTAGATATACAAAAGGATAAAAAAGGCTCTTCTACTTTTTTTAAACAGGCTAAACTACCTAAAGCCTTCTTTGACATGAAAGAAGATTGGGAATTGAGAGACTATTGGCGTGAACGTAACCAGGAAGAAAGGGACTTTACCTTCTTCTCAGATAGACACCAATCTTTCTCAAGAATTGATTTTTTTTTTATTACAACAGATTTATACAACAGGGTGAAGAATGTAAAAATTTTTCCTAGGACATTGTCTGATCATAGTCCAGTTTGGATGGAACTGTTTGCTGAGAAAGAAGACAGGAGATCCTGGAGGGTGAATGAGAATTTATTTAAACAAGAAAAAAATGTTCATAAACTAAAGGAATGTTTAAAGGAATATTTTGCTTTAAATATGAATAAGGGAACATCAATGTCAATGGTGTGGGATGCAAGTAAAGCTTTTATGCGTGGTATTTTGATAAAAATGAATAACTTGCATAGACAGAAACAGATTCAGAAACGTAAAGATTTAGAAGAGGAGATTAAATTAAAAGAGAAACTCCTAATTTCAAATCCTTTAGATGAAAAGGTGAAAGGAGCTATAAAACTGTTAAAAACACAATTTAACATGTTGATGGCTGATCAAGCTGCAACCAATTTATTATTTATGAAACAAAATACATTTTGTAATGCTAATAAACCAGGGAGATGGTTGGCTTATCAGTTAAGAAAGAAACAGAAACAGAGGAATATAGATAAAATAAATTATAATGGTAAATTGGTTTATCAGAAAGAATTGATTAAGAAATCTTTTTTAGAATACTACCAAAAATTATACAAGAGTACTAATATTCAAACTACAGATATAAACAATTATTTAGGTAAAGTTAATTTTCCTAAATTAACAGAAGATCAGGAAAAAGAGATTAATGGTTTAATTACTAAGGAAGAAATTGTTACAGCTATTAAACAATTGAAATTGGGCAAAGCGCCGGGTACGGATGGGTTGACATCTATTTATTATAAAACTCTAGTAGAAGAGATGACTCAACCGTTGTGTGAATTGTTTAATAACTTATTACAGGGGTTAGAGATCCCTCCATCTTGGCGTAATGCATTTATATCACTGATTCCAAAAGACAATCAAGATCTTACATTGCCTAAAAATTATAGGCCTATATCTCTTTTAAATGTGGATTATAAAATTTTTGCAAAAATTTTAGCTAATAGGTTTATGGGGATTTTGCAGCAGATTATACATAAGGATCAATCGGGTTTTATAACTGGAAGGTATATGAAAAATAATGTTAGACAAATTATTAACTTATTAGAGTATTTAGAAAAGAATAACCAAGTCTCTGCAGGCTTGATATTTTTGGATGCTGAAAAAGCCTTTGACCAAGTGAACTGGCAGTTTATGTTATGTTTAATTAAGGAGATGAATTTTGGACAAAATATATTACAAGTACTATCTAATATATATCAAAAACAGACTGCTCAACTTATTGTAAATGGGGGTTTGTCAGAGGCTTTTGTAATAGAAAAAGGTACAAGACAGGGATGCCCGTTATCCCCGTTATTGTTTGTTTTAACATTGGAAATATTGTTGATTAAAATTCGGGAGTCTCAAGAAATAAAAGGAATAGAAATTAATAAAAAAGAATATAAATTAAGAGCCTTTGCAGATGACTTGGTTGTTACTTTGTCTCAACCTATTTGTTCGGTGGTAAAATTATTACAATTGATCCAACAATATGGACGTGTTTCTGGTTTTAAAATTAATAATAATAAGACCAA